AACTGTCAACTGCCTAACTATTTTTACACGCTTTTTCACATGACTTGCAACACTACAATAGTCAGACGGATTCAGAATAATTAAAAACTTGAATAAATATTTCTTTCCTTGTAAACGCATAAGGTTAAATATTTATATACTAACGGACGGATTTATCTAAGGCTTTATTTAATTTATTTTTTAATGATGGTTATAAATAATTACCATGGAAAGAGCTTCACCCATTTGTGTAGACACAATAATGTAGCATTGTGTTCTAGTATTTCAATGTTCTCATTAAGCTATTAGCATGCAAACAAATGAAACTCGGTTCCGAACTTAGCATAGACAATACTTTTTATTGTATCTTTTAGTAACCTTTGCATCTGCCTAGAGTACTGGAATTTAATTTTTTCCTTGGAAATGCAATTTCATTGAACACGGTTCATTAATGTATGCAAACGAGTGCCGCGGGACGTTAGCACAGGTGTCGTTTAAAGATTAAACCGGCGACGTGTTTGCGAGCCATAAATGAGACGTCTTACTCACAATATTCTATTTTCTCGCTGAATTTTCAAATAGAAAATTTTAAGTTACGATAACGATCCCTGTCCTCTACTCTCTTTAGACTATTTGGTACTTTTGTATTTTTAATATAACAAGCAAGCGACTGAATTCCCAGAAATAGCAAAGCTACCGCTGCTCATAGATATCCACAATTGCAGATGCGTTACCTACCTTTAAAACATTTCACTTTCCCATCTGTTACTTACTGCGCTGGCGGCGACCCAAAGTGGGTCTTGGCCTCTGACACGAGAGACCATCCCATCAATTAGTAAATGATAAAACCGATTAGATAAATATAGAAAGCTCACGATTCTAAAGCCTTGTTCTCTGCTAGTTAATTCAAATTAATTTATGAAGTTCCAACTCTTAAAGGTCATATTATAATTACTATTGGCCATTACTAATTCTGTAAATGTTTCAATTAATCCTAATATTCATCTAACCGTGCCCTTCTTGGCATCCAAACATCGACCACGAATTAAACGAGCAATATTCGCTAAGTAATTACCCATTAGGCGGTAATGAAACGGCCACTTGTCAAGTCATACCGACTCTAATCGTCCTCAGTAATGAGCCCGTACAATAGCTATAAACGACTATAAGCCTGATTAAGCCGACAAATGCTACACCGGGAAGCTATTTTAAACATTTTCCAAATGCATTTGTATACCCTTTTATTTTGTAAACACCACAAAGAATAAAAGCATATTTCAACATGTTTTCTGTACTAATAAAGAGGACATTTGTGTTTTTTGTATGTAATTTTATCTTAACAACTACCCTCTCTGTCATTCCTGTAATTCTTATCTTAAATCTAAAGATGGATCTTAATTTATTGATCTCGGATTCTTGTAAGTGGAGAGCCCCTCTCAAGTTATTTGATTAATTACTTTGCCCAAATTACCAGATTCGATTTAACATTTAATACCTATCCAGTTTGATTTATCTAATTTTTCAAGAGCTTTAATAATTAATTAACGAATCACAAGTAAATTGATAAAGAGGGATCAATTACTTAGATAGTTAATGAATATTACTTAATTTCATTAATTTCCTTCAGTTCAAGCCAATCAATTTCAATTTGAATTATGTATAAGACTATCAGCCGAATGTTAAAACGAATTTTAAATATTTCCGTTCGTAAGCCGCTTACAATCTGATTTGTTAAAAGGAATTTGAAGTTTAAGCGTGGTGACATTTAAACGCTGTATGTCGTTTCAGTATTCAGCCGTATATTAATTTTAACTTGAAATAAGATTTTGGACAATTTCTTAGTAATACAATATTATTTTAATGGTCGTTGTTTTTAACAGTACGTTTTTAATGAATACTGACGTTACAAAGCTCAATAAAGGCTTTTAAGGGATGATTTCAGCTCCAATAATTTAATGTTTCAAAATAAATTACAACGTATAACCAGTAATTAACAATTTATTTAAGCTTAATTCCTTTAAGCATATATCTGGATGGTGGATTATTCAGTATGAGTTTCAATAACAAGAAGTGTTTATAGGATTTTGGTTCTAGATGTTTTGGCTAAAAGTTTGGAAACGCATTCTCTATTTATCAAATGTACTGACATGCGAAGGAATTATGCAGTGTCCGCCATCACGAATTCCCTTTATTGTGGCTATTCCGCTAAACGTTATTAATATTTTAGCAACTATCGTGTCATCATTCAATGCTTAACAATACAATAAGTATAAAGCTACCTAAACTAAATACGATTATATTACTTGTTATAATATATTGAAAAAAAAACGACGAAACAAACCGTTCAAAATAATTAACTAGTCAATAAGGGAAACCCTTAGTTTACATTCGTCTGGGTTCTAAAGCAACATATAGGCAACATTTAGCTTTTTTGTCGTTTAATTCCGCGCAAGAGCATCACAGGTTACACCAAAATAAATGTGTTATACACGAGTATAAATTCAATTTGTTTCAACAAACATTTTAATCGCAAAGTTGTAAGCGAACACATTGGCTATTCTGAAATACCTTTGTAAATAATCACATTTGTGTTTGTCTCCTCTTTAAAATGTAAAGAAATACTGACATTGTTCTTGAGACACACCTTGTGTGTGTCCTCTCGTCCTAAACGAGTGCAGCGACACGCCGTATATTACAATGAATAATTAACGTAACGCTTGGATGGTTTTAATAAAATATTCAAATACGATTTCGGGTTGTTATTGATAAGTTAACAAAAATTATGACTGAAGATAACGGTCAATTAAATTTTTAAATAGAACTGAATAGTGTGTTCATCCCTATTTGGCTGTGAAGGGAAAGTCGATTGGATAGACGTTAAGGAAAAAAAGCTTTTGTTGTGACGCTAAATGGCCAATGAATTGCACCTTGCTATGTTTTGGTATTAATTGTTTTAAATTATAATATTTATTGTCGCGCTCTGAGTTTAATTGGCGGTTATGGGGACAGATTAGTGCACTTTCACTATAAAATCAGTCTTTTTTGCTTTGTGAATACTTTCTTTGAAACTGCACTACAAGGAATAATTCCGCGTAATCAAAGTAATCCATATGCAGCAATTTCAAATCAATGAATCCAATCCTTGATTAGTGGATTCATTTTAAATTATTCACGAGTTATCCGAAGTCTGTCCGGAGTCGGAAGAATTCCGTATAATTTCATTTACTCTGATTGTACAGATTGCTCAACTTGTAATTCAATCTGTGTTATTTTGATAAAGAAAATGGCAATTTTAAAATAACGTTGATGTTTTACAAACAACAATAATAATGTTACTGAGTTAATCTAACTTAATATTATAAATGCGAAAGTTTAGATGGTTGTTTGTTAAAGTTTATAGCGTAAACGGCTGAATGGATCTCGATGAAATTTGTCATAGTTGTAGAGAATAGTCTGGACGAACACATAGGCTACTTACTATTTTTTTTTAATTCTACGCGAACGAAGTCTCGGGCAAAAGTTCAAGAAAAGTTCAAAATAATTTTAAGGTTTCTCCTTCAGTTGTCAGAATCAAAAACCAACTGTCAAAGTTTTGATAATATGAAAATTTTCAATCGTTGGTTCGTTCTTCGTTAAGAAGTAATAAACCAAGAATGAGAAGACATAAGCCTATAATATTCTATCCTCAAGAAAAACCTTAAAAAGTAAACCCTAGGACATTCGAAAAACATAAATAGAAAAATAGATACTAATTTTAAAATCCAATATTATATTTATAGAATAATTTATTATAATCGTATTTGTGATTTATAATCTTTATCGTTGTATAACAAATTCACAATCTTGTTTTATTTACGCTTCCCAAAAAATCAAATATTCCAAAGATGATTGTTCCTTCATCCGGCTACAGGAGGGTTAGGGACTTAAATCTTACAGATTAATCACTCATTTATAATCAAATCTTTTCCGGAGTCAACGGATCTTTGATAAGCAATACCTTCTTTACATAATAAAAGACGTTATCGTATTCTAATAATAGTTGAATATTTAATTTATTCGTACAAAAATGTTTTAAGAATTTTGCACAGTTTGTGATCATTAGTCGTTTAATAATTTTTTTTAATAGATGGCGCTGTTTCAAATAGTGTCAACTGTTAAATGATGACTATTCAAAATTCAATCACAAAAACTCGTTTTCACTCCTTTTAATGGAATATAGAAGTACTTAAAAAACTAATTGTAAAGTCAATTCAAGAAATTGATTAGCGAGTTCGATAAGCTATTCAACAATTCGCTTACCTAACATCAAAGTTGTACAGAGTTTCAGCTAATAGTCAGTATTCGATATTGAATTTATATTTTATTCATCAAGGAATTTGATATCTTTTGTGATTCTAACATTTGAACCAAATGACTTTCAAGATTAAGTAGATAAGAAAAATTTAACATTAATTTAGTTAATAATTAAATTGCAAAGTTTAATATAAGTACTTTGTATTTAAAAGTAACGATAGAGGAAACTTTGAACGGATTTTTCTCATAGCAACTGCATAACTAAAATACATGATTGTTATCGTCATTTGTTCATAACAATGTTTCCAACTGCACTGTCGCAGTCAACAGAAAATTATTAATCTTTTAGTTGAACTAATGTATACACAATCTAACATAATCAAATTAACGGCATATGAAAAATCTGTATAAACATAACTGAGAAGTAACCAGATTAAACTTATATTAACCACAAATTGTAATAATCTTTTAGTTAGTATAACTGTTATCGTAATTGTTAATCTCATGGTTTTCAATAAAATTATTTCTATTTTTATTCTATTTCTAAGTATTCAAACATAATGTTTTTTTCTAAAATAAAGTATCACAAAGTAATCCATGTTGTATTTCTTTTTATCTTCCACTCAAATAATACATTGATATTTAATGAGCCGAAAACACGTGCCACATTGTTTTTTCTCTCCCCATTTCAACACGTCTCATACGTTTATCTCAGAACTAATTACGAAATGTCTCAAGTTACTAATAATAATGAAAGCAGAATAGATTTGGAAGATATTCTCGATAAGTTCAGTGTATACAGTTGTTATTTTATGAAGATCGCGTTTTTGATGTGTCTTATTTTCTTATCTAATAATATCTATTCGTGTAATTATATTTTTGCAACCGAAAAAACTTCTTACAGGTAACTTTGTTTCACTCAACTTTGTATTTAGTTTTTACGAAACAATTGTAAAGAAATAAAATTAAATTGGAGAAGAAATAAATTTATAGTATTTGAAGTTTGTTTGTAACACTCAATTTCATCATACTTTATATTTACATAATTTTATTACATAGATATTTTAAACTGGCCAATTTTATTGTTTTTGTATTTTATTGCCTTTAAACACAAAAACCACAATTTGTTACAATTAGGTAACCTTTTATATCGAATTATTGCTACTCTAAATTTACTACTATTCTAAATATTTGTTGCTTCCTAGTTTTTTTATACACAAAAGTTAAAAATAATAATGCATGTAACCAAATTACAGGCATATTTAATTTACATTTGTTAACTTAACTCCAAGGTTCCTCGAACTTGAAACAAAAGAATATTTTACATACTTCTGCAGATAAAGTAACTTCTTTATAATGTTAATTTTTATGACACTTTAAAAGTATAAATGACTTAACACCAAAAGCAATAAAGGTTTACTTAGTATAGATACCAGCATTCGATTTCATTTCAATATTAAAACATCTTACTAATATTATAAATGCGAAATTTTAGATGGATGGATGTTTGTTGGCGTTTGTAGCCTAAACGGATGAACGGATCTCCATGAAATTTGGCACAGGTTTAGAGCATAGTCTGGAAAAACACATAGGCCACTTTTTATCCCTGGAATAGTTACGGTTCCCGTGGGATTCATTGATTTAGTTTTTTAATGTTCACTTGATCATTGTGCAACGGTTCAACATATTGAAATTTGGCACAGATATAAAATAAAGTCTGGAGTACACATGAGATAAACTTCATCCCAGAGAAATGTCCGGTTCCTGAGGGATACGTAGCTTTTTGTAATTGATATAGTTCGTATGTTTTCTTATACCACGCGGACGAAGTCGCGGACACCAGCTCGTACAAAAATAAAAAAAAAAACGCATGTCTTAATAACACTATTACATTTTTTAGATGCAAAGTTCAAGCAATAAATAATTCTGATACAAACGATTGTCGAGAATGGATATATGATAATCCTCACACATTCGTAGCTGAAGTAAGTAACAAATACGAATAGTAACAAAATATACTATGCGAGCACAATAATGTGATACGTGTTTCTGTTTTCAGTTCCAGTTGGCAAATCAGGAATGGAAAAGGACCCTTGTTGGGACCACGCATTGCTTTGGCTATATGGTCGGACTGTTGATTGTTGGCCCACTTTCCGACAGGTAGATTTGTTTATTTATTATCCTAGGATATTTTAGGATAGAATCTGAACCATTAGGTTTAGTAAAATCTGCTCATTCTAGTCAAACTAGACCAAGATATAATCTATAGCTGTTGCTCGCGGCTTCGCCCGCGTGAATTTGAAATAATAAAAAACATAGCCTTATCACTCACTGATACGTATTTTTTTAATAGTGAAAGAATATTTGAAATAGGCCCATTAGTTTTTGGGTTATTTCAATACATACAAAAATACAAATCTTCCTCTTTATAACATTGATATAGATTATGAGATGGACTGGTCAGATGAGAACGTCTCCTTGCAGTGTGCAAAGAAAGCAGGCTACAGAGAAGAGTGGCTGTGACTTGTTAAGGTCACCGATACCACAACGACTCTGTAAAGATACAAATATTACGATGGGATGACAGCAAAGACTGCGTATAGTTAACTACACCATTGTAAAACTTGATTATTATTTACAGATTAGGTAGAAAAAACGCTATAGTAGTTACAGCTGTTCTTGGAGGAGTGCTAGGTGTGGCGAGAAGTTTCTCTCCCTGGTATTGGTTGTATATTGCTCTGGAATTCCTAGAAGCTGCTATAGGAGATCCAGGTTCACCAGCTTATATCTTAAGTAAGTTACATTGTTTATCAAACAACTCATCTTACTTTACACACTGAACATTGTTCAAGTTCAGTAAAGGTCATAAGTATTATAAGTGTGTTACGCCTTTTTCCACTGTTACATAGAATTAAATGGTGGCTTCTTGGTCAAAGTCGCCCAAGGACTAGTTTGTCTTGTAAACTATTATTAAATTAAGTTTGTCTCAAACTGAAGCCATAAATCTGACGGTTTCAATTTTTTGTCTGACAGATATGCATGACAATTTTGTTCTTTAGTTACAGAATTGGTGTCAAAAAAGTACAGAATCGTATTCATAATGATCAGTACGTTCGGTTGCGTTCTTGGTGGATTCGTTACCGCCTTGGTGGCGTGGCTTGTACCGTACTGGAGATATTTCTTAAGAGTAGTCTACACACCGGCACTTCTCTTCTTCTTCTATAAATACCTTTTATGTGAAAGTCCTCGATGGTTATTAATCAAAGGAAAAAAGGAAGAAGCTATTGCGGTACTAAAAACTATCGCAAAGAAGAATAATACAAAATTAGCGAATCTAGAAGAACTATCATGTGAAGAACGTAAACAGGAGAAATTTCAAAAAATCCTTAAAGATACCTTACAATCTAAATTACTGCGAAGAAGATTCTTCGTCTGCGTAATATGGTGGATTACTTCTACATTTGTGAATTACGGTTTATCAATTAATTCAGTACTACTGCAAGGAAATAAATATTTGAATTACGCTTTAATATCACTATTGGAAGTGCCTGGAATTTTTATATTAACATATATACTGACACATTGTAACAGAAAACTTCCGTTAATGTGCTGCTTTACTGTTTCTGCAATATTATGTATCTCACAACCTTTTATGCCTGCAAGTAAGTTACATTCAAACTGTAATAATAGACATTTATTTACATTTTATGAGTGATTTCCTTGTTCAATGACTTAACTAAACGAAAGGCAAAGCATTCATCTATTATTACACAATTGTTCGGGCTCAAACTCGTCCGATGTTAATACCGATCGTACATATAATATATTTTGGTCCTTCGAGTCGAATTAGAACCAGCGAACTATGGAAATTATACTTTCTCCATATACCTTGGTAGTATTTATTTTAAAAAAACGAAACTTTGTTTTTATCTATACCTGAGACTATCTTTTTTTTCAGATTTAAACTGGTTGTCAGTAATCGTTTACGTTTCTGGTAAACTGTTTTCGTGGTTTTTCTTTGAAATAACGTATTTGTACACGTCTGAATTATTTCCGACGCACACAAGGAATACATTGCACGCACTTTGTTCTTCTATTGGAAGAATTGGATCCATGACTGCTCCGCAAACGCAGTTACTGGTATGTAAAATGAAATCTTTTAATTTCGTTTAATCTTTTCAAATCTTACACCCTATTAATATTAAATTAATTAAATGTTAATTTGTTACTACACATATCCAGAACGACTCAAAAGATCTCGCTGAAGTTTGGCATATTTGTAGAAAATAGTAGTTATTTCAGTTATATTTTTTAATTCCACACGGACGTAGTATCCAGAGCAGCAACATCTCTTTAAAGATTACAATCAGTTTATTTATTTTTTGTGCGTCGTAATAATCTTTGAGCAAGGATGGGTACTATATTTACTCGTACCTTTTATCTGTACTTAAAATTAGAGCTAGCACACGTGACTAAACTATCGCACAACTGATTAGTCTCGGTTTGAATCTTATATTTATATAAGGTGCGCATACAATTCGAGGTTTAGTTATGTAAATAGTTCAATTGGCTGCAAAACAAACGACAATCGATAGTTTAGTCAAAGGTGCACAAGAATCATCAATACTAATTATTTACTAATGCTTGTTTAAGATGGTGTACTGGCCTGGTTTACCTCAAATGTTGTTTGGTATGACATCCCTAACAGCTGCCGGAGTAACACTGTTGGTGCCAGATGTAACCAATGAAGCATTACCAGACACAGTCAAACAGGCGGAAGCGATGGGGAAAATAGATTACAAGAAATCGAAGATGGGGGAAACCAAGATAACAGATGTATCACGATTGTGATTTTTTTTACTATCTTTTTAATTGTATTACTACTTATTAATAGAATTAATTTGGTTTAATGTAAGATATTATTTACTTAAATTGTAAATCCTATTTTAATTCTGACATCTGTCAAATTGTAAGCAGCACTTACAGATCCAAATGTTTAAAATTCCTTTTATTAAACCTTACTTAAACACGGTCTTTAAGGTTCAAACCTGTGGAGCGAAGAAAAGATCTGACAAGTATTGTGAGTGATCTTGGACTCCGTGTTAGCGAGGCGGGTCACGAACAGAGTTGAAGCGTTTATTTTTACCTCAGCCTTCAGGTTGACCGACAAAACTTCATATTTATATCTAACCTTTACTTAAAGGACAAAGGTGACGATATTAAAACCTTTTTGCAAATAACATTTACAAAAATTATAACGATGTATTTAGTATATACCGATAAGGATATTTGACGCGATGGGTATAAGATGATGGGCATATCTAAATTATTATCGATCTATGTCCTATTAATGACATTTTTTACGCTCATTTCAGTATTTTAAGATAAAAGAACAGCGATAGCAGCGGCCTCTTAGTGGGCCAAAAAAACTTGACTATACCGTACTAACCAGGCATTTTACGCTGTAAAATAATATTTTGTAGTACTTAAAAAAAACGAAAAACTGTTGTCGTAAAAGAGTATAAAATAAAATTACAAAATAATTAAGCCGCTTAAATCAAATTTAACTTTCCGTTTTTGAGTATCGGTAATCTTACTAATCAATCTAGGACTGCGCGGACCCTTAACTTTTAATTATACTATTATTAAAAGCTTGTCTCAGATAAATGACTGCAATTTTTCCATGTTGATTTATTCAACGTCGCAGTTTCAAATGACACTAATTAATACTTGATATTGTCTCATTTTCTGACATAATTCAGTCAAACAACGACTTGGTTCATTTCCCAAAGTCACGATTGGTCCTCAGTTCGATTCCATAGCAAGACAAATTTATTTAGGTTTCAAACTAAGTGTAGAAGAAGTGAATTGGAAAAATAATTATGTTCTTTCCTCTTAATTCGTTATATTTAATCAAATTTCTAAGGGCCTGTCCTATCAAATTGTAAATTGTCTCATAACCAACGTGTAAAATATGTGACGGAAATATCGGATTTTGTTCTCTTATCTGACAGTGACGTCATTTTTAAGCTCTTCTCTATCAGCCAGTGGGCCAGGCCTTTAATCTTTTTAAATATTTATTTCCATTTATATTTTCAATAAGGGTACAACCTTTATTTGTTCCCTAGAGTATTGTATTTTTCGTAAAACGAATTAATGGCTATTAAAATACACAATTCCCAAAGGTATCGCTAATGGATTCGTACAAAAACGAATTCTTTGATAGAAGATGAAAAGAACTCTAAGTGATTGTAAACAATTTTCCATGTTGGTATATAAATAAAGGGGATTTGATTTGGCACATTGGGATAACGAATACACTATTGATCGACGTGCCAACTTAAACGCTATAAGCTAACAAAATTAAATAGATATCACGTTCCATGAAAATTGTAATTGTTCTTTTAGTTTATTAGTTTTGTTATATTTTAAAGATAATGGACTAACGGCACTCTAAGATAAGACTATAAATTCCTTTCCAAGGCAAATGTGGCAATCGCAAAGGTTTATAATATTAGAGATAGGAAAGGTATTTTTACTTTTGTTAAAAACACATTTTTCAGTAATTTTGAAATGGAATGTTTTGTATTTTTGTTGTTTTTTTTTTGATAAATACAGCATTAGCGATATTAATTGAATTGTAGATACACTAAGCAGTTATTTACCAAAACAAAATTAGTAATTTTATTAGAATTTGATTTATGATTCAGTTGATTTTACGAAATTCGGTTATTGGAATGTAGAAGCTTTGAAGATAGAACGTCTATTTGAATATCTGTCGACTTTGTACTTTAAAATGGACGAAGTTAGTAGTTCCCCGGATAGTATACCGATCATGCTAAACTAGGTTTATTTCCAAGTGACTTCTGTTATAATATAAAGTTGGAAGTAATATAATCCTTTACGCCATCAGTGAATATCAAGCATATCTCTTTACAAGACAACAAACAATAATTGTTTTGAACTCAAGGAAAATTAACTGAAAGAGATATAAAATAACTTATTCACAAAACAAAGTTATTGGAATAATATGAATAGTAAGTTTATGTAAATTTAAGCAGCAATTTATAAAACAAGTTGGGATATTTTTATCTGCGGATTTTCTAAATGTCGACGTCAGACGTTCAAGTACAAAAGTTACACAGAATAAGATAACCTCAAGTTGCCACTGAGAACAACATATATAAAACATTTCAGTGTTTAGAGCGGGCGCACACTTTTGACTAAATTATCGCACAACTATTACGCGATAGTCGATTGTTTCGTAGCCCAATCAACCGTTTAGTTGCAGAACTAAAAATCGAATAGTGAATACCTCCATATAAGCTTATGGGAATCAAAGTGTGACTAAATAGTTGTGCGATAGTTTAGTCACCGGTGTGCGCGCGCTCTTAATATATGACATTTGTAAAACTAGAAAGTATTTAACGACAATTTCTATAGGATTATGATTATTTTAAAAGATAAATAAAAAGTAAAATTTGAAATTTCGTCGTGGTCTCAAAGGTTTTGAATTCGAAAATGGCTCCATAGCCGAATTTCCGAGGCGGAAATGACCGAGGGGTCTGTCCGCCCGCTGCCCCCGTCGCCAGCACTCACCGGAAGTGCCGCCCCGCGCTACTTCTCTAACATTTGCCGTTTTGTTCATGATTCGCACTTTTTATTCAAACAAACTAGTAACTATATCTTCATAATAATTTTATCAAAATCCAGTCTTAATTATTTTATTCTAAATTAGCTATAAGAAATTCGAAACATTGTTATTTTCGTTTAAATTAGTTTTTTAGTTTTCGCCTACATAAGTGTACAGTCAGCTGTACAAATTTGTGCATATTTATAAGCTTCAGAAACTTGTAGACGCCTTAAGTTTCAAAAATATGTAGCCACATATCTGTCCATAAAGCGTATACCTATTTAGACTTTGATGATGCACATACTACAGACCAATAAGTGCATACGTTTTTGAATCTGAAGTTTTATAAATGCGTCCATATTTACGTACCTGACTGTACATGAAAAATAAAAATAAACAAAAGTAGCTCGTTGGCCGGCACTTGGTCGGGCTGAGTGGATCTAATTTAACTTCATTGTATTACAATGGTCGAGGTTCTTATGTAAATTTAAAAAGACCGACCCATTTTAAGTGGATAACAATGTCAAAATGAGAACTTGAGCAATAAAAAAACATTACACAAAGGTTGGTCACAATTCGAGGGAAATTCTTGGGTACACTTTTTACTAACCCTTGGTGTGTATCAAATCTATACTATTATAATAAAGCGTAAACACACACTTTTTTGTTACCTAAGATGTCAGCAATTATAGCATATTTTTGAATAATTCCTTGTTTAATAAAAAGCTCTACGCTTGCGACACGCTTTAGGCTATATATTTTCACGCCATTAAACTTAGGGGGTAAATATTTTGGATATAAACCCTAATGTGGGAAAGAGACCATATGTTGCAGCCAACATTAAGGAAGCAAGATTGCCAAGGATTGTAGTGTCATGTCATTTTGAAATTTGCTATTGATATTTTCATAAATGTAAACAATAAAATAAAATTTTCATGATTTCATGCGGACGAAGTTGCACGTTGCAATTTACAAAGTAATGGTAAAAAGTAGGTATCTCAACCAGGATGCTAGCTAAGTAGAGGTAAAACCGACATGCATATAAAATGCATTCCTTATGAGGATTTTTTTAATGTACAGATTTTTTTAATAAAACAAGAGCATTTGTAACCAGACGCTTTATCGCAATAATATTTATAAACAAACAAATGTAGATTCTAGTTATATACAAAAAAAGCAAATAAAGCTACCTCAAGTCATTACTGTAATACAGCTCAAAGCAAATGACAATTGCAGCCGACAGAGGTCGCTGTAGGAAAATATCAAGAGTTTTAATGCATTTCAAGAAAGCGAAGAAAGACGTAGATATATAAAGACTTGAATATTTGCTTCTTAAATTAAAATTGGTATTTTCATGAGACAGCCCTAGATTATTTATATTGATACCAATACAAATTAGTAAACGACTGTACTATTTATTGTTTTTTTTTTCGGTTATAATTCCATACTTTACTTTGATGCTATTAGCGTAACTGTTTTAAGCAAACTCTAAAAATCGATAAATCCTTCAAACTTATTAAGCTTATTAAATTTTCATTTATTCATCTTAGAGGGTAAATTGTATAGAAAATTCTTTACCATAAATTTCTTTGTTCGAAATATCGAAGGACATACTAAGTTCCAACCTGTGTGTAACATTATATAGACAATATTCAAAGCCAATCAATTAAAGGACAAACAGCAAATTAGCAAACAAACTCCTCAGTACCGTAAACAATCTGCGCACTCAGACGGCTGACATTTATTGAAAAACTTTATTTAATTCCAAAAGTACGAACTTCACTGAACTTGGAACTGGCATTCGGAACAGGTAATTTTGCCAATGTAATAGAACATTTAGCGACGGGAAGGGAATCAAAATTAGTTCATCTGCATCGAAATAATTAAAATTTGCTTGAATAGAAATTAAAGACATTTTCTTTGCTATTTAAAAAAATATGGAAAAGGAAGACTTAAATAAAACACATATAATTTTTCTCATGAAAAATTTAATTAATCTTAAAACCTTATATTACCAAACTTATAGACGTAACAAAACAGCAGCATAACGTAAAAGCTTATCGTAACCCAAACTATAAACATCGCATTAAAATATCCGACGCTGTAAGTAGTATCGTTAGGGTAACAGTTATAGCTAGTGAGGGTAGTTTAATATTTACCGTGGCAAGTGATAATTGCGGGTAGTCGGTGCTCGGTAGTTGGTGACGTCACGCGCGCTGGGAGTGCTGCGCAAATATTTGAGCGAGTTTAATTAAATCGAAATTACTTACCACATCCCTTGGGGGAACACTTCGTTAGTTTAAAGTGTTCTAGGAAAATAATTAATCTACGTATCCAATGATACTGAAATCACTTTTTTACTTACAAATTGAATTTATAGAAATATTGTTTCTTGATAAAATACTTGGTTTAATTATTTTGTTTAAATCAAAATCATCCTAAACCTAACCTAACCTAAAATTCAATTTGTCAAAAATAAATTGCAAGTAAATGTAACTTTGAAGTTAAACAATAAACGAACACAAACACAATATTCCTTCTTATTTCCAACTTTAACTGAGACTTCTGATTTTTTTCGGTTTAAAGTACGTTTGTCGCGAGCATTTCCGAGCCGGAAATGAACGAGGGCGGACCGCGTACAATCAGATCTCAGATGTCACTCACCGGAAGTTCGACCACTCTTTCTCTCTCTCGCCTGACACTCACTGATGTAATTAACTTTTTTGACTCGAGGATACATTTTCTACACTTATTTATACAAATATGTTTTTACATTTATAAAAGTACTAGATGTTTCTGTGCCGCGTCATCTTTTTTTAACTACATTCCGTAAAACTTTAAATTTCAAATGTCAAAATACAATTACAATACGAAAGCCCATGCTATTAGTTGAAAATTAAATTAATTCAGTAGCCGTGGCAACTTTGATTCTTTATTTTTATTGTTTTGTAGTTTTTGTCTCTTACTCGCGGAGCAATTTCTTACAATTTATTCATCCCGTAGGTTTGGTAGCGTGAAAATATACAGCGTTAAGCGTCTCGTGAGTTTAGGGAATTATATTAAAGAACATACTGTGATTGCTGACAAACAACATAACAAACAAATGTGTTTACGTTTCGTTATATTAGTATAGACGTTTAGATAATCATTTAGTATACTAATATTGCTACCCAAGTCAATTAAAAAATGTACAAAACATTCTTTTTACGCACGACAACGCATTACCAATACTAAAGTGTGGCGGATGTCGAGCACTCGGTGCGGAAGTGGGAGAGCGCAGGGCACATCACATCTGCCCGGTGGCCGCTACCGGAACTCACTTTTACTCTACCGGCTAAAATTTAACAAAAAAAATCTATTTTCCTTTTGAAAAATCACGAAACAAAATATTATAAATTACTTTGTATTACAAAGGAATAATTACGAATGTTATTTTAATAGTGAAATTTAGATGTGATGTAAAAATAATTACCGAAAATTAAACGCATTATTAAAATATTTGTAAAAACATACAATGAATTTTTAATACATTTGTTTTATGTAACGCTACAAAGTATAGTCTTTATTAATTTTATTAAATGCACACTTGCGCAAATAATGTTTCATACTATTTAAACTCGAAATTAATATAACATTTTACACCTAAACTAACATACTTATATGCAGAATACAAATATAGTTATCGCTAATTAATATGTAAATAAAATACGCATTTATATTAGTATTTTTTGTACCAAAATGGGGACAAACAAGCGACGAAAACACCGTGGAGAAACTATTTAACACAAAGTATTTTGTGTTTAAAACATAAAAAAAAAACATACAGACGAATTGAGTACCTCCTTCTTTTGGGAAGTCGGTCAAAAATCGGTACGATGACGAATACAGGTGGCCGCGTGCTTGTTCGCCTTACAATATAAAAATAATAATAAACACATTATTTTACGTTTTTTTATGTACTCTAAACATCTAATATTTTATTTCTTTGATATCTTTATAAAATTTCAGCTTAACGAGCGCACGCCTTAGTAAACTATCGCACACCTATTGTGCGATTGTCGATTGTTTCGAAGCCAATTCAACTGTTTTGTTGCAACTAAAAATCAAGTAGTGGTTGCATCTCTATATACTCGTAAGGTAATAAGAATCAAAGCGAGACTAAATACTTGTGCAATTGTTTGACTTTAGGTGTGCGTATGTTTTTAATATTTCCGTCACATTAATATCTATCGAATACCATTGACTTTTACGGTATGTTGTAACTTTTGTACATCCTGACCACCCAACTCTTCCGCTTGACGCACTGTATCCGGTAAGGCTTCGTTGGATATATCCGGTACAGTAATTGTCAGCAGACCAGCGAACGTGGACACTAAACCAAAGATCAAAGGAGGAAAACCTGACCAATACTCCATCTGAAAATATACTAATTGGTAAATTACTTACATACTTTAACAGTGGTAGAGCTCGCCCGGTGCAATACAACCACACAATAAACAGGCGTGAAGTGGAAGCAATTCCGCGTTTCGTCTGAGGAGTGTGGTGCCAGAGGCCTAATTTTAGTCCCTTTCCACCCTTTTCTTAAGAGGAATGGATGGGAAGGAAAAGTAGATTTGACGGTAGAGGAGGCGCATAGAAAGGGGAAATGTCTTCTTTATGTGCGTCTCCTCCTCCGTCAATTAAGGGTAGGCAACGCATATGCTTGGATGCTTAAGGGCAGCGGTCGCTTTCCATTTCGGTGGATTGAGGTGGCCGTTTGCTCGTTTGCCATCTTATATTATAAAAAAAAATCTACAACTAGATTATGCTCAAGCCTTTGTTAGCGGAGAATTAAAAACAAGTATCCTATTTTATTCGGTAATATTTTTATCTTCCTAATTGTTAAAAGTTTTAGTAAATCAGTAAAGATTTTGAGTTTCCATTACATCTAAAGAGGAAAGATTTGTATTTTTTTATGTATTGAAGTAATTCAACTACTGGGCCTATTTCAAAAAATTATTCACCATTAGAAAGGTAATTTATCTGTGAGTAACATAGGATATATTCTTTATTATTTTTTTATTTATAATTAAAATACAATTAATGAAGAATTCAAATTACATTACCAGCAAAGGCGTCTGCGGAGCGATGATTGCACCAATTCTTCCTATGGATGAACAAAGCGCGTGCATTGAATTTCTGGTCAACGTCGGATACAATTCCGACGTATATAAGTATGTTATTCCGAAATATAAGGAAGTCATCAACTTCCCGATCATGTAGAGCAATATTGACAGCCACGACAGATCTAAAACCCAAAGATTATTCAATAGATAAGATAGAAAATGTAGGTCAGGTCGAATACGTGTATTCATGACAAAAAAATAGCAAATCATCCATTCTCACAAATAAATAAATGTACAGATTAAACTCACTTTTCGGTACAAATGGCTGAGATATGCATAATATTGCAGCTGCGAAGAAGCAACTCATTAATGGATATTTTCTTCTAAAACGAATCATAATAAATGTCATCATAAACATTCCTAATGCTTCAACGATACCAAGTAATGCAAAATTAACATATTTATTTCCATACAGAGTTACAGCATTTATAGACATGCCGTAGTTCACGAATGTAGATGTCGTCCACCATACTAAACACACGAAAAACCTTTTACGTAGCAAATTCGATTGAAAAGTAGTCTTAAGAACATTTAGATAGTCAGTCCTAACGCAATCTTCACAAGCAATCTTTTCTAGAATATCCTTCTCCACCAGTAAATTATTTCTTTTTACTGCTTTTTCTAAAATCGCAGCAGCCTTTGCTTTTTTCTTCTTTATAAGCAACCATCTAGGGCTTTCGTCTAAGAAAAATATGTACAGCACGTAAAGGAAACAGGGTGCATAGAGAATGCGTAGATATGTCTTCCAGAATGGAAACAGCCATGCCACCAAAGCGGTCATGAATGTGCCAAAGGGATGACCCAAAATGCACATTAGGGTAAAAATTATTCTCTGATTTCCAGATACTATTTCTGTCACTGAAACAAAAGAACAAAGTTTATGACACCGGTCGCCTATTTCATCCCTTTTAATTATCTTATAATATTGACTGTTAACTAATTTATCTAGGTCCTTACTTAAAATATAGCAAGGCGAACAACAGTCTCCAATAGCAGCTTCCAGGAATTCAAGCGCGCAGTACAACCAATACGAAGGGGAAAAACTCTTCGCTACACCAAAAACACCACCCAATGTGCCCGTCACTACAAGCACGTTCTTTCGGCCGAACCTAAAATATTCATGCACAAAAAAAGTAGTCGTAATTTAAATATGAAATTAAAAAATAAGCTATCATATCAAAGGGCTCATCATGAATATTCGCGAAATCGTTTTCGTAACGTCACCAACATAATTTCTATTAAAGTACACCAACAAATCTCTTATAAATTTTATGGATAACGTTACGAATACATTCTTAAAACTGTCACGTATATTCGTGATAGACCCTGAGATCTATAACTAAATGCACCTGTCAGATAAAGGTCCCACAATCAGTAAGCCGGCCATAATTCCCAGACTGTGCATAGATCCCACGAGAGTCCGTTTCCATTCCTGGTTAGCTAAATTATACTGAAAAACATTATTAATGTGTTCTTATGCCAAATTCTATTTCTAAGTAGGTATCAATTATTAAATTAACTTAAAAACTTAAGCATTTACCTCGGCCACAAAACTATTTGGATTCTCATATTCCCACTCCGCGCATATATTTGACGTATTATCTGCGTAATGTTTGCATCTGAAAGATTAGTATTATTATGCTGTCAGCGCTACCAACAGTTCAATGTAACTTATCTTTATAATAAAGACTTAATTGTAATACGTCTGATATTTTTAAATGTACTATCCTGATAACTGGTACAGAAAGCAACAATGGTATAATCTTATATTATAAATGCGAGTTTAAATGGATTTTAGAGTTTGCAGCCTAAACTGACGAACGGATCTCGATGGAATTTTGCACGGATGTATAATCTACAACACATAGGCTATTACTGTTTTGTTTTTAAATCCATGGGGACTGAGTGACGGGCGAAAGCCTGTGAATCTATTTAAAATTCTTCCTACGAGTTATGAATTTGAAAGTTTATATGGATGGTTATATATCACTACATATCTCTAGAACGTAATCTTAAAAAGGCATAGGCTAATTATTTTTTTCTTAAATTCCGCGCGGCTAAAACGCCAGCAACGCCTAGTATAGTGTATTATATTTAGACCAATATTTTATTAAAGTTACCTGTAAGAAACCTTCTCAGTGACGAATATAAAATTAGTATTATGTATTGTATTGAACGCGAACGATATAAACAATAACAAAGCGACTTGCAAATGATAACTCTTGTATATTTTTAATTTCACTAATACACTTTCTAAACTATTCTCTTTAATATCACTAACAGCCGTCATTTTCGCTCTTATTTTTAGGTTAAATTTAATAAAACACAAAACAATTGTAACTACACACGTTGATATTTAACAAATTCAATAAAACATAACCAATCGCTTGTAAAGGTTATAACTTTTTGCGCGTTTTCAACAACTAATGCGTTATCTTCCAACCTTGTCAATTCTTCTCAGTTTCTATTTAAATAAGGTTTTCTAAGATTAAAATAACACTTCACATTGATGTGCTACAATGATAAAGAAATCTATCATATTAAGTATACAGTATTTATTTTCATATAATATTGTTTGAAAGGATTTTATTAAGCAATTAAAAAATAATTTGAGTTTTGATTGATATTATTTACATCTTTTTCCTTGCATCTATACTAATGTATAAAAGAGGAAAGATTTGTATTTTTGTATATATTGAAATAACGCAAAAAAAAGTCATGTTATCACTGAGTAGTATAGGTTATTTTTGCTATTTTTTAATATCACGCGAACGAATTCGCGAGCGACACCTAGTATTTCCCAAATTAAATAGCGTTAAAGGTCAGTCAAATGTAAAATTTTGATCAAAAATAGAACTCCGGTTTTAGGAAATTAATTTACTCGAAGCTCTCCTATACTCTGGATGACATATAATTCTATGTAAATTTTAAAGAGTAATCCCTTTGAAAGCGCTATTAAGTAAAGTATTCCGGCAATTTATTGGAAAGTCATAAAACTCGTCCCCGGATTGGAGCGATCTGCATATTTTCCACTTTCTGACAAGTTATTAAAATTATATTTCTATGGAAGTTTCGAGTGCTGGGGTTATACTGGAGCTGCCTTACGTTATAAGTAGAACCTATTTTTTTCTTATTTCCGAATTTACAGTATTAATATATTGATAAACATTTATTTCGTGAAAATACATCAATTGGTAAAATGCAAATAATGAAACATTTTGCCGTCTCGACGATAGATGACGCTGTTTCGCTTGTTAATATGCTACAATGGTTTTTAAGTTTGAAGTCATCTGTCTATGGTTCTTTTCGTCTTCCTTAGCAGTATTATAATGAGTACTTTATTTTACAAAACCCCTCACATTTTATTCATTAAAAATTCATCGATAATCACATTTTATTAAACTATTTAAATACTCTAAATTCTATTCGAATTTTTAATTCAAAGGCAAAAGTATATACAATTGTTTATGCGTATAATTATTTAACTTAATAATATAAAGACGCGTGACAATGTTTTCTATTATGTTCGATAGAACTATTTCAAACATCTCAAACCTCTGTTAAAATGTTTTCAAAATGCGTACATGAGACAATGATGTTTGGCCAAGTGTAGCATGTCCGTAACAAAAGTACAGCAATGTGCGTGCTAACAATAGCTGAATACCTGACTCAAACATCTAAAATATATGAATAAGCCAATAACGAGGTTACAAATTGTACTAATACCTGTGAAATGTATTCATCTAGTAATGACCGAGACATTGAGTCACGAGAATTCTATTGCTTTGTGTTCCTTTACATCCCAACCGACCTTTTACCTCATAGTCGATATTACATTGTCAATTGTTCAATATTAATTCAATAACTTGGTAAATAGTATCGCACTTTAATCAACGTAATACATCTATATTAGAATTTCAGTAACTAAATTAACATTATTGTTTATAGAAATTAAATAGCGTCTTCCTTAATATCTCTATTATTTAAACTTTCGTGAGACATTTTATAACTAATTATTTTAGGGTTATACTCACGTCTATTTTTTTTTCTTATTTTTCGATGACGGCATCGAACAAAAATAGACATGAGTTATAGTCGTAAAATAATTATTCTCCATTAATATCAATAACCACAGGAAAGTGATTTTATGCTATACGCAGGCAAACGAGAAAGCGGCCACCGTAATTCGTAATAGCGAATGTTGCTCATAGACATCCGCATTTGCAGATAAATGGGATATTTCTCCTACTATTCCTCTGGTCAAATTCACTTCCCCCGTCCATCCGTTCAATGTATGAAAAGTGGATGAAGACTAGAATTCGGCCTTCGGCATGCTCACTTTAGATGAAACGCGGAATTATTTCCACTTCATGCCTGTTATCTTGTGTATTGTGGGATTGTGTGTGCAGAGCCGACCCGTTCGTGTGAAGATGTTGAAGCAGGCTCTACCACTGCTAACTGATCTTGTATTTAAACTAGTTTATTTTAAACAATTGTCAATTATTCTTAATCCAGATTTATAATTAAATTTACAGATACATAAATTAGTAAAAAAAAATATTCAAAAAGCCAATTAAAAATCAATTGCTACATATTATACGTTAGTATTGGCTGTTTCCTACATAAAACATAAGTAAAATAGCACGTTTGAAAGATAAAAATGTGTCTGAATAAAGCAGTTATAAATGTATTCACGATAAAAGCGATGTTGTAAGTAAAATGTTACATAGTTTTCAAGTAACGCATGATTAACGTATTAAGAGAAACTAGTTGTTCTGCACGATTTTTAAACTAAGTCGACTCACAAATTGAAATTCATAAAATGGTATTAAGATTAGTATTTGAGATGATTTAAGATCTCTCATCTTTTTAAAAAATGTGTACAAACGTTATTAAATTCAATAACTATTCCAATTAACTTTTAGAAACAAATAGATTCAGTTTCAATCTGAAAACAAGACCTCATATTTGCGGAACTACAATAACTAGGCGCTGACAAAAAATATATATTATTCTTACGTATCAAACATTATTATGTTGAGTTCAGCTGTAGCTATTCTTAATTTAAAACCTATCAAGTGAAAATTTTACCGTATTTTTGATGAGTGAAATTCTTATTTTTTCCCTTTCCTAACGATTTCTTAAAACAAAAAGTCAAGTCGATGAAGCTTATTTGACAGATAATAGTACTTAAAGCAAATGCGTTTCAAAACAAATTACTTTGCAATAAAAACTGAGAGTAAAGATTGCTTAATTAAAAATATATGCTATAGTATCTCCGGTTGTGTATAAAATATCAGATAAAATGTATCAACATTTGATATCATAAGATCATAATATTTACATTCGTATATTTCGCGTTCGAAACTAGAAAGATTCAAGGTATAATGCAACATGCGTATGGCAATGAAGCTAAAAGGAAGTTAACAATAAAGACATATTAAAGGTCAGGCGATAGTCCAACAGGTTTCCTTAATTGCTCATCGAAATTCTGTAACATTTTTACTAATTCTTGTTTACCAAATGAATTGTTTCTTAGTTTGATTAGTTATTTGCTGACTTCTGAATAATTTAATGCAGTGCATTTTAAATTACTACGATTATTTGTACGCAATTCACATCTAAACTGAATCCAGTTCTTTTATTATGATTTTGTAACATTTTATTATCCTACTGTTTGTTCGTGAGAACTTATTATTGGCTGTCTGGTTATTTATTTCCTTAATATTTACTTTGTAGATATTTGGTCATTTTTTTACAAGTAAATCTTACTAATATTATAATGTGAAAGTTTAGATAAATAATCGTTTGATAGTAGATAATAAACGGATGTCGATGATATTGTGAATAAATGTAGAGTATAGTCTGGAAGAACACATTGGCTGCTTGTTTTTGTTTTTTTCCTACGCAGACAGAGTCGCGGGAGAAACGTAAAGGTAAAGATAAACAAATAAATAAATGCATTTCTCTTATCTTGCTCAATGTTGTTGTCATACTCTGATAAAAGATCGGATCCTATCTCTAAAAGAACTTAGCCGTATGTTAATGCTCTATGAAGTCGATAGTGTCATGAATCTACGATAAGTACGTCACATATGGTTTTGTTGTTGACTAGCTGTTACTCGCGACTTCGCCCACGCAATGTTAAGATAAAAACGTAACCTATAATATGCCCGTCTATGTCACCTACCCTTGAGTGAAAGTCGGATGGAAATCAGCCCAGTCGTTTCGGAGATTACTCGGAACAAACGCAGCTTGCGGACAGACAGACAAAAAAATGTAAATGTGATTTTCGTTTTCGGAAAGCAAATAGATCATCTTCCGCAAATATGATTTTTTTCTTATAATATTACAAACAGACACTCCAATTTTATTATATGTATAGATATCTGAATACGGTAGAATGCTAACAATGGAAAAAAAACATTAGTCCTTGCTGCGACTAATACAAATCGACGGTTACTCCGATCTCTATGCTCAACAGAATAATAGAGGTACAAAGCATAATGTTAAACATTCAAGAGATTATCAATCTAATTTCCATTACAATAAGATTGAATTTTTAAAATACCTTACACTTCAAGCATCTGATGAAGTGATCGAAGTTTTTATTCGTGTTTCGTTACACCTTACTTCTGCACGTACATAGCGTCGCTTACGTTGATTGTGGTGTAAAATATAATGTTGAGAACAAATGAATTAGTAAAAAATAAGTGTTAATTATTAATTAAAGTATAATTAAATAACAGCTATGACGGCTGTTGAACCTGAAGACGAGAAGAAAGTTGACTTAGAAGATGTTTTGGACAAGTTCAGTATATACAGAAGTTATCATCTACAAATAGCCGGTTTAATATTCCTTGGATTCGCGACGAATACTATGTTTTGTTCCAATTTCATATTTGTTGCAGAAGAAACTGGTTACACGTAAGTCATTTTTTAACAACTACCTTTCGCCTGTGACTCTGTCCGCGTGGATTTATAAAAACAAAAGGATATGTGTTCCTCCAGACTTTACTCTACATCTATGGGAAATTTCATCTAGATCCGTTTTGGCGGTAAACTCTAACACACATCTAAATCTGAATATCATATTAATTAAAAAGATAATTCATAGTTTTCATACGTCCTTATAATTTGCGAATTTAGAAAACATCTTTTTTATATCCTTATAATTTGTGGCAACGAGTTCTTTTTTATCTGTAGTTAATATACGTTTCATTAAAAATACATTTAATTTACCTTCATTATAATAGTAATTTTACTACCTTACCTATTGTATTTTAATTGACAATTGTTATTCCTAAAATGTTTTGATAGCCCTTTATTCGACAGAGTTCAATTAAATAGTACACGAATCGAAGCATTGTGTTTTTTAATGTCACAATTCAAGATGTAATCAAAATAAAAAGGTACCAGAAACTACCTAAACAAAAATATTTACTGTCGGAGATTAAACTCCTATCATGGTTTAAAAATCGCCAGATAAAAACCAAAATGCGTTTGTTTGAGAAAAAAAAAATATCAAATTCATCTAAATTTTAACAAACTCAATTTTGTTACAGAACATACTAGCTGTTGCTCGCGACTTCGCTCGCGTGAAATAACAAATATAACCTATTACGTTCGCCCTTTTTCTCAACCTATTACCAAAAGTATTAACTTAGTAGTAATCTACGTAATAACAGAAATCTACCGATGCAAGATTCCAAATTTCTAAGCCCGGTAGCTTGTAAGCTGATTTTTCGGTTACCCTTACTGTTTGTGTTTGCCATATCTTCTAAACTATTAGTCCAATTTAAATACTGTAAAGGACAATTTTATTCTACATTAAATTCTCCTGATAACAGACGCATTTATTTGGATAAGGATTAATATTGAAACAATTAAAAGATCGCTGCAAATAGCGTAAGGTTTTTAATTCATTTTGTAAACAAAAAAGTGATTATTGTAAGAGAATCGTTGAAAAAAAAAGAAAAAAGCCGAGAAAAGTTAAAGTTTAGTGATTTTTTGACGCCGGCGTCCAAAAACACGCTGTTTATTAATAGTATGTAAACATTAGTATTAATAAAATATAGCCTATGTTACTCACAGATAAATTACCTTTCTGATGGTGAAAGAATTTTTAAAATCTTAATCTTTAGGCTATATATTTTCATGCCATTAAACAACGGGCGGTTGATATTTTGGATAAAAACCTTAACGTGGGAAAGAGCTTATCAGTTGCTGCCAACAGCAAGGCAGTAAGATTGCCCAGTTTTATCATGTCAACTCATTTTGACATTTACAATTGCTAATTTCACAAATGTAAACAATAAAATAAAATTTTCATAAATTCGTGCGCATGAAGGCGCATTGGAACAGCTAGTGAATTGAAAAAGGATAAAGAAACCGACAAATTAAATATAACGAGTTAATACAATTTAATGCAAAAGATATTCCAGTTGCAAAATACAACGTGCTAGATAATATTACGAAGATATGACACGTTGATACATGAAGGACATGATGTTAAAATAAAAATCTATTTAAATCTCTACTCTCAAATTAGTGTGAAAGATGATTTTCATGCGTATAATTTCTACCTATGAGAAATTTTAATACAGATATCAACATAATCTTATAGAGTACTTTACATAGGCGTCGCCGTGGATGAAAGGAAGGGAAGGGGAAGGGGAAGTGGAGCTTGCCCTACCAAGAGAATCAAAAAATGGAAAAAAGTTAGAAAACCAACTTTGCATAACACCATTTTGATGGTAGCTGCCCCCAAGGAGGAGGTCAAGCTAGACAGATTATGAACTGGCTACCATCATGTTACTTTACATTATTAAGCATAGTAATATTATTGTATGGTGCTTACAGATGTATTAGAAATTTTACTGACAACAATACCGGTTGTGCGGAGTGCCTGTACGACAATCCGAACTCATTTGTGGCAGAAGTAAGTACCTATTGTTAACAAAATAGTCTTCTAAATTGGACAACTAATACCCATCCCCAATGACTATGCAGTCCTATGTCCAGGCAATTCCATGTGCAAAGGCTTATGATAAAGATGATGACAAGTAGAATGATGTTAACTCCAAACAGTCTTTAAGAAGTTAATGAATTTAATTAACTGTAAAAGACTTTAAAGAAAAATGTATTAATCAGTTGCAGCTAGCAAATCAAGAATGGAAGCGTACGCTGGTGGGTACGGTGCACAGCTTAGGTTACATGGTCGGCCTGCTTATCGTCGGACCACTTTCTGATAGGTAAACTATACATTTCAACAATTGTCTACCTTAGCTGCATCAAGAATACTCAACCAATGCAATAAACATAAAGAAGACAGACCTGAAGTTAAAGTAATTCCAAGTTTCGTTTGCTTAGTGTTAAGCTGTGAAGGTCATTAACTTAGTTACAACATATAAGACAATATTTAATATCGTGCCCTCTGTGAAGAGAAGATAACATGCCAGGAAAATATTAATTGTTTTTATTAGGTTTGGACGAAAGAACGCATTCATAATGACAGGAGTGCTCGGCGGGGTGTTTGGCGTGGCTCGTAGCTTCTCTCATTCCTATTGGCTGTACATTTGCCTTGAGTTTCTAGAAGCATTTATCGGCGATTGTTGTTCACCTGCATATATTTTAAGTGAGTATTGATGCTATTGATGGCATGGTTGTTCTTTGACCTCTTATTTAAAAATATCAAGATCTGAGTTAAAGAAAATGTATTTTTTTTCTTCTATTTCAGTTACAGAAGTAGTATCAACTAAACAGAGGCTAAAATTTATTTTAATGTGCACGATTGGGTACACTTTTGGTGGTTTCGCCACAAGTCTAGCGGCATGGCTCGTGCCGTACTGGAGGACATTGTTACAAGTCCTGTACACACCTGCTTTACTGTTCTTCTTCTATAAATACCTTCTAGATGAAAGTCCTCGATGGCTACTAATAAAAGGACACAAAGAGAAAGCTGTAGAAGTACTGGAGAAAGCAGCAATGAAAAATAATCAAAAACTAGATAAGCATTTTCTTGACAAGTTGTCGTGTGAAAATAACGAGACATTGGACTTTTTTAAGATTATCAAAAGCACTTTCCAATCGAAGGTGTTATGTGGAAGATTTTTTGTTTGTTTAGTGTGGTGGACCACATCCACTTTTGTGAACTATGGTCTCACTATTACCTCTGTATCGCTGCAAGGTAACAAATACATCAACTTCGCCTTGCTATCAGTTGTTGACTTACCAGGTTTATTTATAATCACGTACATCTTGACGTACTGCAAACGAAAACTACCATTGATATGCTGCTTCTTCGCGGCCGCAGTATTGTGTGTTTCACAACCATTTGTACCGTTAGGTATGCTTTTAAGGACACATTTATACAAGTGAATTATACTTCAATTTTTTGATGCTAAGAGTTCACGTTTGTCTTTTTTTTTCAGATTTACCTTGGTTATCCATCGTATTCTTTATGGCTGGTAAATTAATGTCATCATTCTACTTCAACATAACGTATCTGTACACGTCCGAGTTATTTCCGACTTATACCAGAAATTCAATGCACGCGCTATGTTCCTCATTGGGTCGGATCGGATCCATCATTTCTCCGCAAACTCCTTTGTTGGTAAGTTTTTTATTGTTACATAGTTCGCTTTTCTTATGTATATATGGTTATGTTCTATGTCTTTTGGGAAGTCGTTCAAAATATTTCAAAGTATAAGTACATCCGACTTCAAAGTAATGATAATTGTACAATATAGACATAACTGCTATATAGGGATACATAATAAGGGAGGTCTAATTAATTCAGGGAATTATTTCTTTACTTTTTAAAATACATTATCTATTTTGTGTAATTTCATTGGAAGTCGGTTATGGTTTTTTTTAAATTCATTAATGTACATTTTCAGATGCAATACTGGTTCGGTCTACCGTCGCTGATTTTTGGCTTAGCGTCGCTCTTCGGAGGGTTCGTGACCTTCTTCGTGCCGGACATCGCGGATGACTCGCTCCCGGACACAATCAGCCAAGCTGAAGAACTTGGCAAGCCAAAGAAGCCGTTAGCCTGTACAAATCCTAATGCTACCAATTAAAAGTATGATATTTAGATATTTTATTTATTAGTGTAATTAAAGATTAAGTTAAATAGGAGAAATAAAAAAAATAAACGAAGTAGGAAATAAATAACAATTTTAACTAAAGCTTGCCTTTCTTTACAATTTTTTCCTTACTCATTTCGAACCTCAGTCAAAATGGCTCTCATCGATCTTATTAAATCCCAAATTTTATAGATTAAGAACCTGACATTAAAAAACCTTAGTTCTAAATGAAGTAATTGATTTTCTATCGGGCAGAATACATGGCTAAATACAATACTAGCTGTTGCTCACGACTTTGTCGTATACTACTCAGTGATAATATAGCTTTTTAATGCAATAATTTTTGAAATTGGACCAGCAGTTTTTAAGTTTTTTCATAACATACATAAACACAAATCTTTCCTCTTTATAATATTAGTATAGTAGTATTGATTAGTATAGATGGCTTGGAAGTTTTGTAAATAATTTAGGTATTTATGATATAACAGCATATGTACTTCGACACGCAAAATTGTAAAAGTGTACCATCTATTTCCGATATTCGCACCACGTGTGGATAATCAAGAAAGTTGGCCGGCGACGACTCCGGCGGACGTGACGTCATGCCGACAACATGGCGGCCAACTTAAAAGAAACGATAATTCGACAAAATGGCGACATCGAAATACGCCACTTATTTATTGAGCTGACGAATTGTTTGCTCGTTTATCTTACTTGATTACTGCTTATAAAGAAATAGTAGGAATAATAGAAAAGAAGCACTTTCTTAAATTAGAAGTAACTGATGGCTTAAAGATGTTTTAAAACATCTTGCGTGCGAAAAAACCTTTACCTTAGTTGATAAAACTGATAAAAATTCGCGAGGTTATCGTTAAGGATTCTTTTAAGGACGAAATTAAATATTCCAGCGGCGTCACCCCCTTAGCGTCCCGGTCGGAAGATTACTTAAATCTGAAGATTATCGTTTCCGCATCATTTGTTACAAGATCTACATCTTATCGTCTCAGTAATGGCCGTTTAAAGTTCGCTCATCTGTTATGTTTTTGTGTACTTGTGTAATTTCGAATTCACCACTTATTTGCGAATCTTTTGTAGCGTTAAACTTAAGAATTTATTACACAGTAGGCCTATTAAATTGTGTGTTTTTGATATATTAACACAGCCGTACGTCATTTTATTCAAACGTTTTGTAAACAAATACTCTGATAAGCAAATAACAAATGTCCATTACATCTCGTCTACAATGTTGTAAACTAACAATGTCATATTTCACTAGAAACGATTTTCAACATATACGTAAAATATTTCCCAATAACCGTACCGCAGAAATGTTTCATTTCCGTTGAGACACAAAAACTTCGATGTGTAAGGTTAGACGAAGGCAAGCCCCAAGACGACAAATTTAGTAGGAATGTCTGACGGAGTAACATAAAAGTGAATGGTTGACGCCCGCCTTTGCTCTATTTCGTTATCGACACAAGAGGCCATATGAAACACGTGACACTGTTCATGATGTACTAAATAAAATGATGTGGTAAGTAAATTAATCTGATACATTTAAATCCGCATATAGACATTTTTATCGCTAATTTAATAGTGTCGTAATTGTTTCTTGACACAGCATAAATACGTATATTTTTGTGTGATCCTAACTATTACTAAATCTATTAATGTTTTGTATTTGCATTAATATAATATTAAATAAGTGCCTGTTTTCCTTTATCTTTGTAGTTGATATTTACACAATCGAACTATATAACGCATTAATATATATGCCGCATCCAAAGTATACTTTATTTCTAGCTGTGTGTGCCCACATCGCGCGTCCTGAGCCAATCAAAGGGAATGTTTCGTGCGGCAGTATAGCGCCCCCGGCGAGCCCTTACGACCCAGTCGCCTCTTACCAGCCGGCAGCCGTGACCTTGCTACGGGCGACAGTTTTCACGTAATTAGGTAAAATGGTTACGTTAAAATTTAAATAGAATTTAGCGAAAAAAATATATTAATCACTAAATATTTTAAAGTCAATCTCGGAATGTTTTATACTCTATTACGGGTTTAAATCCAAGTCAGAAATTGAAAAGAATTTATCTTTATTTTTTTGGTACCACGTACAGGTCCTACCTGCATAAGTCAAAAATCGAATGCAGAGAAGTGGTACATTTTAAACAATCCTGTAGTAAAATGAAAACAAACTCCACACATACGATCGTAATTGATTTTCCCCGATTCAATGTTCGTACTTTTGAATGTACGAGTATAAGCTATAATTTGAATTTCAATCATGGATTCCCTTTGGTGGGGGCTGCAGGCTGCAGGCTGCAGACTCAAAGCACGAAACGCAATGTTCTATATGCACAAATGTGCGCTTAAATACCTCGTTGGAAATCGCTAACGAGTTTTTAACTACACGTGTGACATTGCGAAATTCACAACTCACAAGATTAAATAATATTTTTTCTAATTTTCATTAGTGTTATTTTTTTTTATAATAAAGGGGGGCAAACGAGCGGCGAGAACACCGAAGTGGTCAGCGACGCCCATGGACATCCGCAACACCAGAGGAACTACAGATGCGTTGCCGGCCTTTGAGGAAATGATAGGCTCGCTTCTTGAAGGACCCTAAGTCGTATTGGTTTGGAAATACCGCCGAGGACAGACCGTTCCACAACGCGGCTGTGCGGGGCAGGAAGTTCCGCGAAAACCGCACGGTTGTGAAATGCCAGCCATCGAGATGGTGAGGATGGTATCTGGCGGTCTGTCGTGTCGTCCGATGACGAAACTCGGCGGCAGGAATCGTTCCAAACAACTCCTCGGAACACTCCCCGTGGTAAATGCGGTAAAACATGCAGAGGGAACTGACGTCCCTCCGCAAGGCCAGAGGATCTAGCCGATCGGTAAGAGCTCGGTCGTTGACGATTCGAGTCGCTCTCCGTTGTATGCGGTCAAATGAAAGAAGCTGGTATTGGGGTGCTCCCGCCCAGAGGTGCGAGCAGTACTCCATGTGGGGCCGAACTAGCGCCTTATAGAGCTGAAGGCGGTGGCCCGGCTGGAAATACTGCTTCGCCCTACTGAGCACACCCAGTTTATGTTATATTTCATATTGACAACTTACCACGTTCATTTTCTATTTATGAAAATTACGATTTGAAGTCAATAAGTTTGAATCAAAGCTCCTCTAATAATCAATATTTGAAATACGACGGCGCCGACGCTGTCGCTTTCTCGTGTCGGCGGCCAAGACCCATTTTGGGTCGCTGCGCCAACGCATTAGTAATTTGAAATATGTTTTAATGAATTACCTGAGCTACTTTGAATGTAACTGATTAAAATATATTTCAAGAAAAAGTAAGTAGTGAAAAATAACCTATTTTGTTCTTGTACTTATTTAGATCTGTAGATATTACATTAGTTACTAAATATATTTTTTTTCGTATCTCGTTTAAATATTCCGCGATATAAGGCAGCAGATGTTAAAGCTGCGTAGTGAAATTGAATTTCAAATCTTTGTTTTACATATGCATGAGCAAACCGCGCGATCAAAGCGATTGCTTACCGAACCACAAACATGTTTGTATTTTATTAACTGTTGATAAACGAAAAAGCGAGACATAATATAATTTATGATAAGAATAATTACTAAAGTAACTATATGAATCTCTTACAAATGTCTTTTAAACAGTCTGTAAGGGTTATTTAGTATTTCAAATGAATATGAAATGGACACCTAAGGCCTATCCTACTAAATTGTAAATTATCTGAGATCAATCCTACGGGTAAAATGTGATGGAAATATCGGATTTTGTTACCTTATCTGACGGTGACGTCATTTTTAAGCTATCTAAGCCTCTATCAGTCAGTAGTGGGACAGACCCTTAATTTGATAGAGTAACAATTAATACTCAAGCAATAAGTTATACCAACAAAATGAACTCACTAAATCAAAATATATTAAAAAGCAAAAATCTTATTAATCAAAGTTAAATAATCCGGAAACATAAACGCTGCACTAAAATTGGTAACCATCAAAGACTAAAAGATATCTACCGGATAGAGCGAGCTAGCAATTTTATTTCCAATACAAAAATCCTTTTTTATTCGTATGACAAAAATGAGGGCGAGCGATTCGTTCCCATTCCGAATGCAATTTCAGGGATAAAGCAGATTACACGACACAAAACTATTTTGGGGACAGACAACGGATGTATGACGTATATAGAACTGTAAGGTTGGTTCTCACTGCAAAAACAACAAAAACGTCTTATAGCATCCTTTTGATTTTCATTGATGATAGCGAGATAACAATTTGGGTGTTCACATCGGCTAAAGCCAACTGATACAAGTACAATCCAGGAAAATGTCAGCGTACAGCCTTAAAAGATTAAGTCGACGCATCTATAACGAGAGCGTCGGTGGCTCAGTGGTTAACCCAAGACTTGTAATCTACAGGTCTTGGGTTTGAATCCCGCCATGTACCAATGTGATTTTCGATTTTTCGAATTTTCATATGTACATAATTTACCC